ATTATTAGCAAATTATTTCAATCAAAGAGATAACGTCCTAGTGGCAAAAGTCACAGAAAGTCTTCTTGAAGTCATGTGTTCAAGCCTCCGGGGTGGCAAATTTAAGGTAAATCCTCCAAAGGATTTAAACCGTCCGGTTGAACGGTTTTCCGGTTTGTACCGGTTCGAACGGTTTTACCGGTTTTGAACGGTTCAACCGCTCCACCGGTTCTAAATGTTGAACCGAACCGTTTTTGATACCGTTACCGGTCCGACCGGTTCAACCGGCCGGTCCGGTCCGGTTTTTAAAACATTGGAGATGATAGAAACAAAGGAAAGTAGTACTTCCTCCTCCAGCTTCCTTTAAGGGGTTAGTACTTGTCTGTCTTACCTTTAAAAAATTAAAAAAAAAAATAACAAAAATTACTTTAATACATACTTTAAAAATATAGTAGTTTAGTTTTTTTTAATAAAAAATTATTAAAATAACGTAATTTTAAGATGATTTTTTTCTTAATTTTTAAGAGGTAAGACTAATAAGCACTATTTCTTTTCTTTAACTTTTTTAGAAAAAGTTATTAGCCAGACGTGGAACAAATTAAAATAACATACTTTCATAGTAGAAATGAAAACTATTATAAATAGTTTTCTTTTTGGAGTGCTTATTGATGCTTTAGTTCTTCGTTTTTTTTAATTATCTTAAAAATATATAAAATATTAATTAAAATAAATATTAAATATATTATATATATTTTTTAATATTAAAAGATAAAAAAACTTATAGTTACAACTCACACTCCCAAACTAAATCAATCTATTTTTTTAATATTTTATTTAAATAATTTAATTTTAAGATATTCTTTTATTTAATATTCTGTAAGTCAAATTGATAAACAATCTCTATATAATATATATATATATATATATGAGATTGAATACACTAAAGTACTATCAATAAAAGTTTGATAAAATTTAATATTTATTAATTTAAAAACCTTAATTTTAGGATAAGGTAAAAGATTCAAATCATTATACTATCAAGTAATTAACTCTCTAATGTACTAAAAAATTACATTAAAGTACTAATTAATTATTGAAAATATAGTTTTTATTTTGTTAAACTAAATCATGGATATCAAATTTTAAAATAATATGATATAAATAATTACACATATGAAGAAACTATACTTTCTATTTTTTTTTAATGGTGTACAATTGTGTATCATAGTGAAATAGTTATATGGTACAAAAAAATTCAATAGTATTACAAGTACAATATTTTTTTTTTCAATACTTTATACAATATAAAATTAAAAAGATCTTGTGTAATAAAAAATTAAATCTTATTATACAATTTAAATTATTAGAGAGAACAAACTTTTTCATATTAGAAATCGTTTTTATCTAATTATTTATATTTTACAGTTTAATATAATTTATATTACAATCAAAAACTCATACACAATATATAATATAATTTAGAATTAAATAGAGTTAATAAATATTAATTCAGTAATATTAGACTTTTAATGTCATATGAAATTGTAAACTTATAATTATAATGTGTCATTATGTGTGACGAGTAATGCTATGAATAATTATCTAAACTCTCATGAGTGGATTTTTAAGTAAAAAAATTATATGATAATATATTACATTATAAATTTATAATTTACCTAATATTATAATTATATTGGGAAAGTGCGCATCAATCCTATCTCCCAAAAAAAAAAAAAAATTGGAGTCCCAACCAAAACAACGTTGTTTCTTAATCCCCAGCCCCAGCTCATCTTTGCCCCTTCCGCAATCATCTCCATCTCCTTTAAGCCCCTTCTGCAATCATCTTCATCATCTCCGATATGAACAAAGTGCCAAACAAATTAT